AAAATGATAATATCAATCTAAGCAAGTTTCTGACGCACTTGGGATATTCATTAATGTCAGGTCGTCATCTCTTGAGCATCCTAATGAACAACAACTCCGTGCACATGCACGGCAGGAATAAAGCCAGTATTCACTCCTTCAACATTCCTGCTATCTATCAGCTTCCAATGTGGTCTAGTGGTTAGGATTCCTGGCTTTCACCCAGGCGGCCCGGGTTCGATTCCCGGCATTGGAACAAATTCTTTTCCATCTCACAAGAAAATGAGTTCAACTGCAAGAAGTATGTTTTGTCATGTGCACAGTCATAAGTAAAAGGCATGCATTTGAATTCATAGATTTAAGTTCATGTATATCCTAGTGTCCACATTTTCCAATACATGCATCAAGTCAGCCAGTGTGTTATTGTGGAACACTATCCCATCCCTCACACACCAGAGGATGAAACACACCATGAGACGTTTCCTTCTGCAAGGACACTTACCTTCCACCACACCAGTCACATCTCAAAATGAGCCCCACCTCGTCAGTTCCGTCTCTGTGGCGCAATCGGTTAGCGCGTTCGGCTGTTAACCGAAGGTTGGTGGTTCAAGCCCACCAGGGACGCACTTGCTTTTGTAAACATAAGTAATTGATATTTCGCTCTTTTTCATTTTACAGATGTCTATAGTTGACACAAATACATGCTTCAAAATGATAATATCAATCTAAGCAAGTTTCTGACGCACTTGGGATATTCATTAATGTCAGGTCGTCATCTCTTGAGCATCCTAATGAACAACAACTCCGTGCACATGCACGGCAGGAATAAAGCCAGTATTCACTCCTTCAACATTCCTGCTATCTATCAGCTTCCAATGTGGTCTAGTGGTTAGGATTCCTGGCTTTCACCCAGGCGGCCCGGGTTCGATTCCCGGCATTGGAACAAATTCTTTTCCATCTCACAAGAAAATGAGTTCAACTGCAAAAGTATGTTTTTGTCATGTGCACAGTCATAAGTAAAAGGCATGCATTTGAATTCATAGATTTAAGTTCATGTATATCCTAGTGTCCACATTTTCCAATACATGCATCAAGTCAGCCAGTGTGTTATTGTGGAACACTATCCCATCCCTCACACACCAGAGGATGAAACACACCATGAGACGTTTCCTTCTGCAAGGACACTTACCTTCCACCACACCAGTCACATCTCAAAATGAGCCCCACCTCGTCAGTTCCGTCTCTGTGGCGCAATCGGTTAGCGCGTTCGGCTGTTAACCGAAGGTTGGTGGTTCAAGCCCACCAGGGACGCACTTGCTTTTTGTAAACATAAGTAATTGATATTTCGCTCTTTTCATTTTACAGATGTCTATAGTTGACACAAATACATGCTTCAAAATGATAATATCAATCTAAGCAAGTTTCTGACGCACTTGGGATATTCATTAATGTCAGGTCGTCATCTCTTGAGCATCCTAATGAACAACAACTCCGTGCACATGCACGGCAGGAATAAAAGCCAGTATTCACTCCTTCAACATTCCTGCTATCTATCAGCTTCCAATGTGGTCTAGTGGTTTAGGATTCCTGGCTTTCACCCAGGCGGCCCGGGTTCGATTCCCGGCATTGGAACAAATTCTTTTTCCATCTCACAAGAAAATGAGTTCAACTGCAAAAGTATGTTTTGTCATGTGCACAGTCATAAGTAAAAGGCATGCATTTGAATTCATAGATTTAAGTTCATGTATATCCTAGTGTCCACATTTTCCAATACATGCATCAAGTCAGCCAGTGTGTTATTGTGGAACACTATCCCATCCCTCACACACCAGAGGATGAAACACACCATGAGACGTTTCCTTCTGCAAGGACACTTACCTTCCACCACACCAGTCACATCTCAAAATGAGCCCCACCTCGTCAGTTCCGTCTCTGTGGCGCAATCGGTTAGCGCGTTCGGCTGTTAACCGAAGGTTGGTGGTTCAAGCCCACCCAGGGACGCACTTGCTTTTTGTAAACATAAGTAATTGATATTTCGCTCTTTTTCATTTTACAGATGTCTATAGTTGACACAAATACATGCTTCAAAATGATAATATCAATCTAAGCAAGTTTCTGACGCACTTGGGATATTCATTAATGTCAGGTCGTCATCTCTTGAGCATCCTAATGAACAACAACTCCGTGCACATGCACGGCAGGAATAAAGCCAGTATTCACTCCTTCAACATTCCTGCTATCTATCAGCTTCCAATGTGGTCTAGTGGTTAGGATTCCTGGCTTTCACCCAGGCGGCCCGGGTTCGATTCCCGGCATTGGAACAAATTCTTTTTCCATCTCACAGAAAATGAGTTCAACTGCAAGAGTATGTTTTTGTCATGTGCACAGTCATAAGTAAAAGGCATGCATTTGAATTCATAGATTTAAGTTCATGTATATCCTAGTGTCCACATTTTCCAATACATGCATCAAGTCAGCCAGTGTGTTATTGTGGAACACTATCCCATCCCTCACACACCAGAGGATGAAACACACCATGAGACGTTTCCTTCTGCAAGGACACTTACCTTCCACCACACCAGTCACATCTCAAAATGAGCCCCACCTCGTCAGTTCCGTCTCTGTGGCGCAATCGGTTAGCGCGTTCGGCTGTTAACCGAAAGGTTGGTGGTTCAAAGCCCACCCAGGGACGCACTTGCTTTTTGTAAACATAAGTAATTGATATTTCGCTCTTTTTCATTTTACAGATGTCTATAGTTGACACAAATACATGCTTCAAAATGATAATATCAATCTAAGCAAGTTTCTGACGCACTTGGGATATTCATTAATGTCAGGTCGTCATCTCTTGAGCATCCTAATGAACAACAACTCCGTGCACATGCACGGCAGGAATAAAGCCAGTATTCACTCCTTCAACATTCCTGCTATCTATCAGCTTCCAATGTGGTCTAGTGGTTAGGATTCCTGGCTTTCACCCAGGCGGCCCGGGTTCGATTCCCGGCATTGGAACAAATTCTTTTCCATCTCACAAGAAAATGAGTTCAACTGCAAAGAAGTATGTTTTTGTCATGTGCACAGTCATAAGTAAAAGGCATGCATTTGAATTCATAGATTTAAGTTCATGTATATCCTAGTGTCCACATTTTCCAATACATGCATCAAGTCAGCCAGTGTGTTATTGTGGAACACTATCCCATCCCTCACACACCAGAGGATGAAACACACCATGAGACGTTTCCTTCTGCAAGGACACTTACCTTCCACCACACCAGTCACATCTCAAAATGAGCCCCACCTCGTCAGTTCCGTCTCTGTGGCGCAATCGGTTAGCGCGTTCGGCTGTTAACCGAAAGGTTGGTGGTTCAAGCCCACCCAGGGACGCACTTGCTTTTTGTAAACATAAGTAATTGATATTTCGCTCTTTTTCATTTTACAGATGTCTATAGTTGACACAAATACATGCTGCAAAATGATAATATCAATCTAAGCAAGTTTCTGACGCACTTGGGATATTCATTAATGTCAGGTCGTCATCTCTTGAGCATCCTAATGAACAACAACTCCGTGCACATGCACGGCAGGAATAAAACCAGTATTCACTCCTTCAACATTCCTGCTATCTATCAGCTTCCAATGTGGTCTAGTGGTTAGGATTCCTGGCTTTCACCCAGGCGGCCCGGGTTCGATTCCCGGCATTGGAACAAATTCTTTTTCCATCTCACAGAAAATGAGTTCAACTGCAAGAAGTATGTTTTTGTCATGTGCACAGTCATAAGTAAAAGGCATGCATTTGAATTCATAGATTTAAGTTCATGTATATCCTAGTGTCCACATTTTCCAATACATGCATCAAGTCAGCCAGTGTGTTATTGTGGAACACTATCCCATCCCTCACACACCAGAGGATGAAACACACCATGAGACGTTTCCTTCTGCAAAAAGGACACTTACCTTCCACCACACCAGTCACATCTCAAAATGAGCCCCACCTCGTCAGTTCCGTCTCTGTGGCGCAATCGGTTAGCGCGTTCGGCTGTTAACCGAAAGGTTGGTGGTTCAAAGCCCACCCAGGGACGCACTTGCTTTTGTAAACATAAGTAATTGATATTTCGCTCTTTTTCATTTTACAGATGTCTATAGTTGACACAAATACATGCTACAAAATGATAATATCAATCTAAGCAAGTTTCTGACGCACTTGGGATATTCATTAATGTCAGGTCGTCATCTCTTGAGCATCCTAATGAACAACAACTCCGTGCACATGCACGGCAGGAATAAAGCCAGTATTCACTCCTTCAACATTCCTGCTATCTATCAGCTTCCAATGTGGTCTAGTGGTTAGGATTCCTGGCTTTCACCCAGGCGGCCCGGGTTCGATTCCCGGCATTGGAACAAATTCTTTTTCCATCTCACAAGAAAATGAGTTCAACTGCAAGAAGTATGTTTTTGTCATGTGCACAGTCATAAGTAAAAGGCATGCATTTGAATTCATAGATTTAAGTTCATGTATATCCTAGTGTCCACATTTTCCAATACATGCATCAAGTCAGCCAGTGTGTTATTGTGGAACACTATCCCATCCCTCACACACCAGAGGATGAAACACACCATGAGACGTTTCCTTCTGCAAGGACACTTACCTTCCACCACACCAGTCACATCTCAAAATGAGCCCCACCTCGTCAGTTCCGTCTCTGTGGCGCAATCGGTTAGCGCGTTCGGCTGTTAACCGAAAGGTTGGTGGTTCAAGCTTCCACCCAGGGACGCACTTGCTTTTTGTAAACATAAGTAATTGATATTTCGCTCTTTTTCATTTTACAGATGTCTATAGTTGACACAAATACATGCTACAAAATGATAATATCAATCTAAGCAAGTTTCTGACGCACTTGGGATATTCATTAATGTCAGGTCGTCATCTCTTGAGGCATCCTAATGAACAACAACTCCGTGCACATGCACGGCAGGAATAAAACCAGTATTCACTCCTTCAACATTCCTGCTATCTATCAGCTTCCAATGTGGTCTAGTGGTTTAGGATTCCTGGCTTTCACCCAGGCGGCCCGGGTTCGATTCCCGGCATTGGAACAAATTCTTTTTCCATCTCACAAGAAAATGAGTTCAACTGCAAAGAAGTATGCTTTTGTCATGTGCACAGTCATAAGTAAAAGGCATGCATTTGAATTCATAGATTTAAGTTCATGTATATCCTAGTGTCCACATTTTCCAATACATGCATCAAGTCAGCCAGTGTGTTATTGTGGAACACTATCCCATCCCTCACACACCAGAGGATGAAACACACCATGAGACGTTTCCTTCTGCAAGGACATCTTACCTTCCACCACACCAGTCACATCTCAAAATGAGCCCCACCTCGTCAGTTCCGTCTCTGTGGCGCAATCGGTTAGCGCGTTCGGCTGTTAACCGAAAGGTTGGTGGTTCAAGCCCACCCAGGGACGCACTTGCTTTTGTAAACATAAGTAATTGATATTTCCAGCTCTTTTCATTTTACAGATGTCTATAGTTGACACAAATACATGCTTCAAAAAATGATAATATCAATCTAAGCAAGTTTCTGACGCACTTGGGATATTCCATTAATGTCAGGTCGTCATCTCTTGAGCATCCTAATGAACAACAACTCCGTGCACATGCACGGCAGGAATAAAGCCAGTATTTACTCCTTCCAACATTCCTGCTATCTATCAGCTTCAATGTGGTCTAGTGAGGTGGATTTAGGATTCCTGGCTTTCCGCACCCAGGCGGCTCCGGGTTCGATTCCCGGCATTGGAACAAATTCTTTTTTCCATCTCACAAGAAAATGAGTTCAACTGCAAGAGTATGTTTTTGGCTCATGTGCACAGTCATAGAAGTAAAAGGCAT